GGGCGGCGCCCTGAGGCTGTGCGGCCCCCGCAGGTGTGCACCCTCACGCGCGAGGACAACCGCGGCGTCGGAGGGGCGCCGGAGGACGAGCAGCTGCACGTGCTGCCCCTCTACAAGGTCTCGGACGTGGACGAGTTCGGCAGCGCCGAGGCGCAGGAGGAGAAGAAGCGCAGCGGCGCCATCCAGGTGCTCAGCTCCTTCCGGCGCAAGGTGCGCATGCTGGCCGAGCCCGTCAAGACCTGCCGCCAGAGGAAGCTGGAGGCCCGGAAGGCGGCCGCCGAGAGGCTGTCCTCCCTGGACGGCAGCGCCGGCAAGAGCGACAGGGACAAGGCGGCCTCCGCGCGCGCCAAGCAGGAGAGCAGCGGCCCCGGCAAGCAGCTGGCAGGTAGGTGCGCAGCCGCGGCGGGGCCGGGGGCACAGGTGCCCCGGAGTTGAGAGGTAGGTGGGGCCGGCTTTAAAAACACTGGAAACCTGAACACCGATCAGCCGGGAGCCTGCAGGTTGACGGAAGCAATGAAAAGAAGCAAAAGTGAGGGAAATAGATCCGGTCCAAGGACGCGCTCTGGACACTGGCGGGAAGGGGCAGAAACACCGGCGCGTGACCCCAAGTGTGAGCCTAGACCAGGGCCAGCCCGGGGCGTCGGGCCCTTGAAGCCAGCGTTGCAGGGCCGCGGGCAGGAAGCGAGGGAGGCCCCTGCCCCGCAGGTGGTCTTTGGGGGCAGCGGGGTGTGTCCCGGCCCTTCCCAGCAGCCCCACTGCTGGGCCCACCCAAGGCCCCCTGCCTCTGCGGGCGAGTAGGGCCATAAAAGCCCTGGCCGCAGCGTGAGGCCAGACCCCGGCCTGCGCCGGGACCGGCCTGGCTGCTCGCAGAGGACGCACATCAGCGTGCTGGAGACAGGCGTCCGGCTTCCAAGCTGGGACGGCCCCGTGGGTGCAGCCTGCAGGCCCGGCCCCGCCCCGCCCTCCGGTGCCTGCTGCCTCCGGTCCCCCGCGGGAGGCTCCGCGGGTCTGGCCTCACCTCGCGCTGCTTTCTGTTGCTGCCCCGTGCAGTCTCAGAGCGAAGGCCCGGCCGCTCGAAGCTGCACTTGAGGAGCCGACCATTTCCCTAGATGTTTTACCCCTGCTGGCAAGGGCAGTAATGAACTAGCTGTGCGGATCCCCGCGAGCTTGTCGCCTAAACGACCGCCCGGCCTTCTCCCCACGGCACTGGGAGGCGCTGCCCTTCCCCGGGGGGCTTGGCCGTGCCGGGGGAGCCAGCCGGAGGCCTGCTGGTGGGTTGCCGAGGGGCCACCGGCTCCCCGGATGGAGGGAGCTCGGCTCCCGGGGGAGAAAGCCTGGGGGGGCAGGCGGGCGTGCTGGCGGGACGCCCGCACAAGCCGCGCCCCGAAAAGCGCTCCCAGCCAAGGGCTGTGGCTGTTCGCGCCACCCTCCTCGC